CGTTGTCTCTTGTTTTTTAATCAGGAAATCGGGACTGATTTTACCCGTACATAATATACTACTTCATTAAAATACTCTTTACTTCTACTTAATATTTATTGAACTAAATTGCATTTCATCTTTCATTATATACTAGGGTATGGGATATATATATATGTGTGTGTGTGTGTGTGTGTGTGTGTGTGTGTGTGTGTGTGTGTGTGTGTTGGTTTTATAGAAGGATCATACATTTGTTTCATCTTAAAAGAAAGAAGGAAAAGGATGTACAATTTTCATAATGTTGAATTTTTCTTCAATTTTTAGATTTTCATTTTGGAAAATTCCACAATAACATACCAAGTATAATCCCGCATAGTGAGGTCTTGGAAGGGTAGTGTATACGCAGACCTTACCCCTACCTTGTAGAGGTAGAGAGACTATTTCCAATAGATCCTAGGCTCTGGAAAGCATAAGCACCAAATAATAAAAAGAAAAACAAGAAGGGACAACACCGAGAAGCCATGTAAAAGCAACATTAATAAAGATAGTAAGATGATTGAAATGTAAAAAATGACAGGTAGTCAAAGAAACCTAATACCAATGAAATGCAAGAGTACGTATTAATACTATCGGTATGAATAATCTAGACACTTAACCTACTATCCTAATCATCAACCTCCACACTTTCTTCTTCTTCTTCGGCCTACCTCTACCTATCCTAAGGCCCTTCAATGTCAACCCATCACACCTCCTTACCGAAGCGTATGTGCTTCTCCTCCTCATATGTCCAAACCATCTAAGCCTTGCTTCCCGCATCTTGTTCTCAATAGGGGTCACACCCACCTTGTCCCGAATAACTTCATTCCTAATCTTATCTAACCTGGTGTGCTCGCACATCCTTCACAAAATCCTCATATTCGCTACCTTCATCTTCTGTACACGGGAGCTCTTGACTGACCAACACTCATCCCCATACAACATAGTCGAACTGACCACCACTCTATAAAACATACCTTTATGTTTTGCTGGCACCTTCTTGTCACACAAAACACCAGAAGCAAGTCTCCATTTCATCCATCCCACCCCAATACAATGTGTGACATCTTCGTCAATCTCCCCATCCCCTCTGTATAATAGATCCAAGGTACTTAAGACTTCCCCTCCTAGGGATGACTTGTGAATCCAACCTCACCCCCCTTCCATTCCCTAAGTTGCACCACTAAACATACACTCCAAGTATTCTGTCTTGGTCCTGCTCAACTTGAAACCTTTAGACTCCTAGGTTTGTGTCTACACCTCTAACCTAGTGTTAACACCATCTTGCATCTCGTCAATTAAAATAATGTCATTTACAAATAACATGCACCACAACACATCCCCTTAGATGTGGCGGGTCAGTACGTCCATCGCTAAGGGAAACAAAAAGGGGATGAGTGTCGACCCCTGATGCAACTTCATCACGATCGGAAAATAATCCGAGACCTCCCACTATCTTCACCCGGGTCTTAGCTGCATCAAATATGTCTTTAATCACCCTAATGCAGGCCACATGTACCCCTCTAGCCTCTAAACATCTCTACATAACCTCCCTTGGGACTTTATCATAAGTTTTTTCTAAGTCTATGAACACCATATGCGAGTCCTTCTTCCTCTCCCTATATTGTTCCATCAATCTCCTAACAAGGTGAATGACTTCCATAGTCAAGCGCCCAGGCATAAACCCGATCTGGTTCTTGGAAATAGACACACTTCTTCTCACCCTTAACTCCACCACCCTCTCCCACACCATCATAGTATGACTAAGCATCTTAATACCTCGATAGTTATTGCAATTTTGGATATCACCTTTATTCTTGTACAAAGGAACCATTATGCTCCATCTCCACTCTTCCGGCTTCTTTTTTGTCCTAAAATGACATTAATAACCTACTAAGTTACTCCAAGCCCTCCCTGCCCACACTCTTCCAAAACTCCACCAAGATTTCATCTGGTCCGGTCGCTCTGCCCCTGCTCATCTTTCGCATAGCCCCCACAACCTTCTCAACTCTAATTTGCCTACAATACCCAAAGTCCCAATGACTCCCAGAGGATCCCAAATAACCCAAAACAGTATTTTTGTCCCCCTCCTTATTCAAGAGACTATGGAAGTAAGTCTTCCATCTCCAACGGATATGCGCCTCATCCAACAAAACTCTACCTTCTTCGTTCTTAATTCACTTCGCTTGATCCAAGTCATGGGCCTTTCTCTCTCACCTTAGCTAGCCTAAATAGCCTCTTATCCCTGCATTTACCCTCATGTTCTTCATATAAATTACTAAGCGTTGCAGTCTTAGCCGCCTTAACTGCTAACTTCGCCTCCTTCCTAGCCAACTTATACTGCTCCCTATTTGACCTATTCTCTTCCTCGTCAATTCTTTCCACTAGCTTCAGATACGTCGTTTTCTTGGTGTTCACCTTCCTTATACCTTTCCATTCCACCACTAGGCTCCGTTGTGACCACCATAGTAACCCTTCGAGACCCCTAAAACCTCTCTGATAGCTTCCTTAATACACTGCCTGTCGTGGTCCACATAACGCTCGCATCCCCACTACTCATCCAAGCCCCCATAGTCAACAACTTAACCCCTAACTCCTGCCCTCTGTCTTCAGTCAAGGATCCCCAATTGATCCTAGGTTAGCCATACACCGCTCTCTTCCTCTTCTTCCTCGTGATCTCAAGGTTCATGACTAGGAGCCTATGAAGGGTCATGAGGTTCTCACTCAGGATGACCTTGCAATTCGTGCAAAGACCTTTATCGAACTTCCTGCATAGTAGATAATCAATCTAGGTCCTAGCCACCAAGCTCAGAAAGGTGACCAAGTGTTCCACCTTATTCGAAAAATTCGAGTTTGCTATCACCAAATCAAAAACTCTAGCAAAATCCAGCAGTAAAGTTACCCCTACATTTCTATGTCCAAAACCGAAACCATCATGCACATCATCATATCCCCCAGACGTCGCTCCAATATGGCCATTGAAATCTCCTCCAATGAAAAACTTCTCAGTGTGCGGAATACCACACACCATCTCATCCAAATCCTCCCAGAATTTCCTTTTGACTTCCTCATCCAAGCTTGTTTGGGGTGTGTACACACTGATTATGTTCAAAGTAAATCCACCAACAATTAGCTTAATACTCATCAGCCTATCTCTAACTATCCTAACCTCTGCCACTAATTTCCGGAGGTTCTTATCAACCAAAATACCAACCCCGTTTCTTCCCCCTGCGCTCCCAGAATACCATAGTTTAAACTCGTCTGCATCTCGCGCCTTACCTCTTATCCATCTAGTCTCCTGGACACAAGCTATATTAATATTCCTCTTTTAGAGAATCTTCACTAATTCTATGGACTTCCTAGTTAAAGTTCCTATTTTTCAAGACCCAATTCTCAGCATGGTGGCTCCCTTAGACCTCTTACCCTCCAGCACCCAATCCTCCGCAATGACTCCCCTCCCCTCTTGACGACAAGACCTTACCCTATCATCGTTCACCAAAGCTACTATAATCTAAGGGACACTACACAGGCACTACCCTAAAATAAGCGACAAATTTACAAATAAAAAAATCAACAAAATATAATCTATAACTAAAAGGCACAAAAACAGGCGCGCGTGTTAAAATTCATGAACTAAAGGGAATATATCCTACAACTAGCAGTCACAAAAACAAGCAGAACTACTATACTATAAACTAGATAAGTGGTATAGTGAAAGCACAAACAAACAAGCAAAGGTTCAAGATAAAATTATAAATGGTAATCAAAGTTCTTGCTAATGTAATTAGTAATAGTGAATAAGGACAAGATCAAATAAGCAAGAAATAAGATATTATTAATGGTAAAATAGCAAATTATCAAGATAAAGAAGAAACGATAAAACCTGGTTTGCTACGCCTGAAGATCTGTTGTCAGAAGCAATAGAAATTTGTCGTTCATTCTTGAGCCTCAATCCCTGGAAGGAAACGCACGCGCCGGAAAACTTGATGGACAAAGGCACATGTGGTTGGATCTTCTCTAGAAGGTTGACTGATTTCGACTTGGGTCTGCCGCTATGTCCCCACACAAATGCAGGATGCGATGGGGAGGGGAATAGAGGGAGAGCAACACAGTATTGACTCCTACCAATCACCGGAGAGAGAAGAGAAGAAGACGGGAAGAATGGGGAAGAAGAGAAAGAGATAAAGAAAGAGATAAGGTTGGAGAAATCAAGAGAGGGAGGAGAACTTAAGGTTAGAGGCCTTACTTGTGTTGTCGATAGTAATTGTTGAAGATAGTGGTGAAGGTAGACGGTGTTAGAGAGAGAGAGTAAGAGAAAGACCAACCTTTTGGAAAAGTCTACATGCTAAACTTTTCTCTAGCTTCTTTATGCCTTTTCTTAATATATATATTATAAGTGTGAAGACTTTTAGGTAAAGTTGATTTACTAAAATATCCATAGAAAGTTGGATGATTGTAGATATGTGATTTTTGACCCTCCCCAAGATTTTTCATATTTTAGCACGTAAATATTTAATTTAGGCCTAATATAGCTATTTTAACTCATTTTACTCTTTACTTTTATTTTATTACAAGAAAACAAAAATTACAAAAAAAAGATTCATTAATGTTTTGTAGTCATTTTTAATCTTGAAAAAATACCAAAAAAAAATAGTTTTGTTTTAATGGTCAGTCTTATTTTAATAATTATTTTTACTTAAGTAGAGCTAATAAATATTTTTGATAATACTTTTAGTTAATTAAGCTAATTTTAAACATAGCTAGTCATAAAGGCCCAAGTTTCTAGCTCATTCCTTAAGCTCAATATCCAATACCTATTAAGCTAATCCTAGGGACCTTTCTAGACTCTTCTTTAGAACAAAAAATAAATAAAAAGACCCTAAGGACTTAACACAAAAAGACCTAGGGACTAATTGGCAAAATACACAAAAATACACATTAGACCTAGACTCTACAATAAAGAAGGGATAGCGGTAACGCCTAAAAAGAGAGACGGATACACTTTAATGGGGGAGGGGCCACAATTCTCAAAATCCAAGAGCGCCCCCTGAAGCTTGGTCTCCTTCACACCCTCATACCTATCGACGGAGCTCTTTCTTCTTAACCACACCCCAAAGAGACCCGCCGTTCTTCAACCAGACCCCACCCCCGAGTCATCTCCTTCGTCGAACCTCCAGCGACCACTCCCTGAACCGGATCTAGCCGTTGTTTCTCATCCAGTCGAACGAACCTCAAAACATAATAGACCTAGCAGCTATAGACAAATAGAAGCTGTTGCTTCTTCTTCATAAAACCAACAGACCATTCTTCCAAAAAACGCACAAACAGCGTCACGCGCACGAACAGATTTTCGAAACGTAGAGTTTAACTGAAGTTGAGAATCGTTTTTGAGTTCGAATCCATTGTCAGTTGCCGTTGAGGTTCGAGGTCGGGGTTAATAGCTCATTTTTGGTTTGCTGCTTTGGAAACTCTCTTCGTCGATTCGTCGTCGAAGAATATGCAGCAACGAGGTTTAGCTCTTTTCATTCTTTATGGATCAATAGCTTTACATTATATTTGGATATGTTTGAATCTACATGGATCTGTTTAATCTTGGTTGGTTTCCTTGTTTAGTTTATTCAATTTTTGCATTTCTTTTTCTTTGAACCAAGCTTTACAGATCGGTCCATGAACTTTGCATTTTTTGTTGCATTTGATTGGGTTTAAATTGCTCTTTCTAAAATCAGATGTTGGCATATCTTCTTTGTTCGATTAGTTATGTGTGCTACTTATTTTTTCTTTGAGTTTCCTTAGTGAAATTATGTTGTCGAGTTGCTGCTTGTACTTGAAGATGAATAGAACAATAGATGGCCATTTGGTTTTGGTTTATGCTCAGAGGAAATTGACTGATTTCAAATAGCCATTTTGTCGCGTTGTATTTGGAAGTTGATTAGTTTTATCAAAATTAAACCCACGGGTACAAAGAAAGAGCAGATAGTGGTCCAGATGAGACTGATCTTACAGCTGATAGTGATATTGATTCTTTAATTAGAAAATAGATGATGTGACATGGTCGCCACAGTCCAGTCAAAATATTTTGCAAAATAATGTACTTGCAGTCTCTCAGGGAAGTGGAACAGATGCTGTAACAGGAGGTACAGATGTTAAAGCCATTTTTCGCGATATTGAAAAGGGGAATATAACTTTGGATTCACCTGAAGTGGAACAAGGTATTCCTATATTAAATGTGAATGCAACATCTGGAGCAAAGGAAAGGGAACCTGAGACTGGTCTGGCAACTCTTCCTGAAATGTGCATCCAAGAAAGTAAAGGTAATTTGGATGGAATTGGAAGGAAGTTGAATGAAAAAGAACCTCTTGTTGTTCATGAAATTATTGAAAAGATTCAGCAGGTTAGTGTGCGCAGGCTTGTTTCCCTGTTTATTATACTGGAAATCTGTCCTGGGAATGATTGCTTTCCAGTATGTTATACTGGATGATTATTATATTATAGTTGAGTTTTGTTTGATTCCAGTATATTTTACAGGAAGTTTACCGTTTTGTAAGATTGTTGTCCAGTATATTATACTAGATGAGTTCTGTTTATACCCTGTGTAAGTTCTGTTGTCCAGACTAGAAATTATTTTCACTTGTTATTAATTTTTTGAATCATTAATTGTCTTTTTCTTTTATAATATGCCTTTTGATTATTTTTCTTCTTTATACCCCGAGTATTTGCTTCTGGAGTTTCCCGCCATCTAATTCATTTCATCCAGTATATTATACTGGAAGACTGGCATCTCTAGGCTGTTTTTGTCTAGTAAATTATACTGGATAAGTATAATATATTTCATTTCATTATGTTTTTCAGTTCTAATAATCTCTCCATTTGTTTTTTGTTTTTTTTTAAGCAGGGAAAATTGTATACTAGAAAAAGAAAGAGGAAATCTGTGGATTCGTGCCCTAATTTTAATATTTTGACTCAGTCAAGTCAATCAAGTTATAATGTGTTTGATCATGAACCTACTATTGATCGCACCCCTGCTGAACAATCTGTTGTTGCTGATATGCAAAATAGTGATTCTGATAAAAAGATTGTTTTATATTCAAGTGGGGATGAGGGAGTTTATGTTTCTCCTCTTAAAATTGCTAAGTTTGTTTCTCAACTGGATGATAATTCTGATCAGCAGACCACATTGAAACCTGAAATAAAAAATATGGAGGTAGGAGGTGAAAATGAAAAACTAAATTTTGCCTCCTATAAAGGAAAAGAAGTGTCAGGAGGACAAGTACAACAGATTGCACAAAGTGCTTATGTAGAAGAAGAATTGCTTGGTAGAGGAAAAAGAATTCGTAATGCCAGTTGGCATTTAAAATCTCCATATAAGGGAACAAGTAAAGGTATGAATTGGAGTTCAAAATATGTCCGAAGATGTTGCTGGCATTATCGGAAAAAAAATCAAATCTTCTGAGGATAATTTTGTAGCATATTTAAATGAAAACAAGAGAAGAGGTCGTCTACCAAAGTGAGTTTTGATATTTAGCTTATTCTATTTTTATTTGATATATATGTTATTAAAATTTCTCTTTTATTTTGTTTTTAATATTTGTTCTATCTTTTTTTTTAGGGGTGTAACTGATATTTACAAAACAGATCCTGTACTGCAACAAAATCCATATGATCTTTACAATGAGAAAGCTAAATCAAGAATGTTCTTTAAAGAGATTGGCGATGATAAGTATACTTTAACTGATGTGGTATGTATATATCTTTTACATTGTGAACGTTTGATTTTATTTTATATTATATTTGACATATATTTATTTTTGTTTTATATTCAGCACATAGATGTTTTATTATATTATATGAGGAAGAAACATATATATCACATCAATGAGTATCCATTTGCCTCAACAACAACAGATGTGGACTTTAATGACACTTTGGATTTGCATATAGTGACTGGAAGCGTCGTCCAGAAGGCTGGACTGAGTTTGAATTTTGGAATGTGGGATTTGGATTTGGGCTTTGTCAGTATATATTGGGTGAGAATCGTAGATGTGGGATTTCATGGTCATCTGTTGAAAATATTTTCTGTCCGATTCGACTTCCTGCTCCAATGGTAAATGGTGAAATTCGCTTAAATTATTGCACTCATTAATACCTGGCAGTTTTATACTTGAATGAGAAGACCATAGATGTATATGATTCGGTTTACGAGGGCTATAAGTATGATGTTATAAAGACGCAGCTTCTTTATTATCAGCATTTCATTCCTGTGGTTATGGAGTGTTGTAAATTTGGTGACTTGCATCCTATATTTGAGCATGTGTATGAACCATTTGATGTTCGCTGGAAAGAATCACCAAAACAGATAGGAAACACAAGTTGTGGTGCATTTGTTATAAGATATGTTGATATGTTGATGCAGGGTAAAGATGTTAAGACAATTGTGCCCAATACAATTAAATATTATCGGGAGTATCATGGTTTTTGTCTATGGGGACAGGCAGAATGGAAACACAAATCAGGGTATGAAACTCCTCCAGAGATGGTTGGTGATGAATATGGAGATAATGGAAATAGCTTTTGTAAATATCCTTTAGCATATGGCAGTCCTCAAGTGTAAATACCTTGATAAACATAGTTTTTTGCATTATATATTAAACATGAATACTTTGTTGATATATATGCAGATTTTATAATTTGAATTTAAAATGTTTTGCTTCCTGTATATTATGCTGGAGAATCTAATATATGAAAGAATATCATCCAGTAATTTTTATGGAATTCTAGCTTGTATTTTTTATATTATGCTGGAGAATCTAATATGTGAAAGAATATCATCCAGTAATTTCCTGTAAATTATGCTGGAGATATGTCATATTTAATATATTTTTGGTTGCTTCTTGTAAATTCAGATTTTTACCCCTATAATAATCCAAATTTTTTTACCCTAAATTCGGCCAATTTTGGTTACTCTCCTATAAATTATTATAGAAATGCTACTTATGAAGGCATAGAAGCCAGTATATTATCATATGGAGAAGTTGAAAATTGTGAAAACTTGGTATCTAGAAAAATTTACTGGAATTAAATAATTTAATATTTTATTTGTTGTATATTACACTGGAGTTATATAATGTTAAATCACTGTGTCCCGTATTTAATACTAGACGTGAATAATGCAAATTTTTTATCCTAAATTCGTCAAAATTTGGTTACTCCCTATAAATTATGCTGGAAATGCTACTTATGAAGGGATATAAGCCAGTATATTATAATGGAGAAGTGAAAAATAGTGGAAATTTGGTATCTAGAATAATTTACTATAATTAAATAATTTAGTATTTTATTTCCTGTATATTACACGAGAGTATATAATGTTAAACCACTGTATCCCGTATTTAATACTGGACGTGAATAATGCAGATTTTTTATCCTAAATTCGTCAAATTTTGTTTACTCCCTATAAATTATGCTGGAAATTCTTCTCATGAAGGGATATAAGCCAGTATATTATAATGGAGAAGTGAAAAATAGTGAAAACTGGGTAATTAGAACAATTTACTGGAATTAAGTAATTTAATATTTTATTCCCTATATATTACACTGGAGTTATATATACTTATAAACATATTGTCCTGTATTTAATAATGGACGTGAATAATTCAAATTATTTTAACCTAAAATTGTCCAATTTTGGTTAATCCCTATTAAATATGGTGGAAACGCTACTTATGAAAAGATATAAACCAGTATATTATGACGGAGAAGTAAAAAATAGTGGAAACTTGGTATCTAGAATAATTTACTGGAATTAAATAATTTAATATTTTATTTCCTGTATATTACACTGGAGTTATATATTGTTAAACTATTGTGTCCCATATTTAATACTGGACATGAATAATGCAGATTTTTTTATCTTAGATTCGTCAAATTTTGGTCATTGTCTATATATTATGCTGGAAATGTTATTCATGAAGGGATATAAGACAGTATATTACGATGGAGAAGTGGAAAATAGTTAAAATTTGGTAATTAAAATAATTTACTGGAATTAAATAATTTAATATTTTATTCCCTGTGTATTACACTGGAATTATATATTGTTAAACCACTTTGCCCCGTATTTAATTCTTGACGTGAATAATGCAGAATTTTTGTATAATTTTCTTGAAAACTTTTTGATACTATGTCGATCGTATTCCATAATATCAGATACATAAAAGAAATATTACAAAAAACAATCACACATAAACATAGTAGAAGATAAAGAGCACCCAATGACAAAAACATAGAACAAAAACATAAAAAAGGGATTAAGCAATACTAAGAATCATCTGTATCATCAGAATAATACTCCTCAATTTCTTGATATATCTCATCATCATCCGAATCAGAGATAATGATAGGATACCCGGGCAAAATACCACAAAGTCTCACGAGATCATTCTTCAACCTGTTGAAATCATGACGCAACTGATTTTGTTCAATTTTTATTTTGTCCATAAGATGAGGAAGATTCTTTAAGCTATATTTGAGCTTCGCACAGTCGTCCCTGTTGGGATACTTGAAAGAATCAATGTTCTGGACAACCTTGTCGAACGAGGTTGAATAACCTTCAGAACTGCGTTCTACGTTCAGCCTGTTCTTGAATGATTCATCAGCAAAAACCTGAGGTCTTATTCTTATCCAGTCAACCTTTATTTGTTCCCACTTTTGTATAATATTATCCATTGGAACTTTACTATCCCAATCAGACTTTAAACTCTCCCACTTCTGCATAAGTTCATCCATTGTAAGCTTCCTGCTTCCTCTAGCATAAGACATGGTTTTTTTGAAAAAGGTAAAATGCTACTGATGAATATAAATTTTAATAAAATATGATAGAATTTTTCTAGTGAACTGATTGTTTAATATAGTGAAAGTGTGCACCTACTAAATTTAAAATATGTATAAATGTAAAGGTAACTTTTCAGGTCTATTAGATGTTTTATTAGGTTCAGAGAAATGTAACTTTTTGCAGATTCCAAGAAAAGTAGGTTGTAAAATACGACACGAATATGTATTGTGCACATCCAGTATATAATACTGGACATTATGCTTTTGCATGATATTTGACCAGTTTAATATACTGGACATAATGTTTCAGTACTTTAGATAACCATTTGGTTCAGCCTTTTATGCATTTTTAACTACAAATTATATTATACGTTGGGAGTTGTGTAAGAGTAATAATTACATTTTCTGTCATTTCATAGGATTCTAGTAAATTTTATGGAGAGTAATTTGGATTTCATAATTTTACAGACAACTTTATAGTAATCTACTATACTAGAGTTTATATTGATTTTCCAATGACGCGTCATTCATTAAAGCGTACCTCGAATTTTTCCTGTATATTCTAATGGAGATATACCACCTGATAGCATAATCTCCTATATTATGTACTCGAAGTGTACAATCCTGAAATAATATTATACCGAAAATTATATAATACATTTGGAGATGTGTCATAGAAATAATTATATATTCACTCATTTCATAGGATTCTATATTTTATGGATAGTAATTTTGATTTCATATTTTCCAGTTTTATACTGATCAACTATACTGCAGTATATTTTGCTTTTTAAACGACGCGCCATTCACTAAAGCGTACCTCGAATTTTCAAACAACGCGCCATATATTATCTCGAATTTCAAAATACACAGTCGTTAGGGTTTAATCTCGAGGTTTAATTTTTGAAATGTCAAGCTTAATTTCGAACAGTTGACGTTTTATGGGTAGAAATCACTCTCTCAAGCGTAAAAAACCTATTCATCCAATCTCAGCGTCATCAGATTTTTCTGATTTCGTTATGGATAACGAAAATTATTCTCTTACAATGGTAGAATCTTATATGAAAGATGCTCCAAGTGCGAATGCAGTTGGTGTATCATCATTAGCAAGTGGAACAAAAGTTGTTAGTTTAGGACGGACTCGTTTACAAAGGGCTAACGCACGAAATACCTCTAGATTAGGTTCGAATACCTCTGGGTCAGCTAGTATTAGAATAACGCGTTCTCAAAGTGCTAAGGAAGTTGATGTTTCTCAAAATAATATAAAGCCTACAAAAAAAAAAAGGAAGGATTCTGAATCAAGCATTCATAAGAGAAGACATTCCAAATCATTTTTGAAGGTAAATTATATTACACATTATTTGATTAATACATACTCTGTTGAATGTATACTATGTAATATACTTATATATGTATCTGTATTGTATTGCAGCTTAGTGCAAGTGATAGACCAATACTTGGCAGTAACTTCAATTCTGAGATTGTTAGCAATTTGAAAACAAAATTGTCAACAACGCAACTTGAACTTTTTAAGTCAACTTGTTTTGGCTATTTGTTGAATTTGCCTAGTATAAAACTGCAATCACAGTTAATATATTATTTGTTAACCAAGGAGGTAGAAAAAGGGAAAGCGAAAGAAATGGTGTTTCTTGTCAATGGGGTAAAACTACGTTTTGGCTTGGCAGAGTTTGCTTTTATAAGTGGATTAAAATGTACTGGTGATGTACAGCTTTGTAGTGAAGCTACGAAAAATAATAATGGTTCAATTGCAAAGTACTTTATGGATTATCCTTCTGATTCTAAAGAACATCTTGTGGATTATTTTCTTACAAAAACATTTGAGTCTGATGAAGATGCTATTAAGATAGCAGTGCTATTTGTTGTAAATTTATTCCTCTTTTCTATTAAAAATAGTTATCCATGGGGAATAAATTTATATGAGGAAACAATGAGAATAATGTCAGGTATTTTGGATAAGCAACGAGAGTATTATTGGATTTCAGGATTCCCTTATGCTATTCAGATATGGTTCTACGAATGTTTTGGATATTTGCATAGTTCTATTGCTCGACGGTGTCAAAATATATCTCCACCAATTATTCGATGGAGTGTTACACGGCAGCTGAAATTTGAAGAGTTAAATGATAAGCTATTTGGCTTACCTTCTGAAAAGGTAAATTAATTTCATTTTTGTTTTCTCATGTATTAAGAGTTACTTTTGCTATATATAATTTTGTTACTAAAATTGAGTAAATTGTATGTTTATGTAGTTGAATTTAAGGAATATGTCTCTTGAGAATGAGATTGCGGATAATGTTGATCAGAAACACGTTACTTCAGATGATGATTTTGTTGATCCCCACCTGAGACTTTAAAAGGACAGTGCAAAATGATGATTAATGTGAATGCGAAAAGGCAACGAACACCTTCTAATGTTTTGGAGAAGAAGGGGAAAGATGGTAATAATTTGAAGAAGCAGGGGAAAGCTGCTAATGAAACATCAAAAATGAAAAGTATCGGTGCTAGTGATTTGGAGAAGCAGATGATGGAGAATGTCTCTAATAGTGCTAATGTTATGTCAGCAAATAATGACCTTGTTGATTCTACATCTAGAAAATCAAAAATGAAACTGGAAATGATTTGCAGAAAAGGTGGTGGAGAATATTCATAACCAACATCGAGGTGTAGGTAAAGCTTCTGTTGACCCGTCAACTAAAGATAGTGAGTGGTGTATTCAGTTTAAGATTTTGCAAGATGGCCAAGATGAATTGAAGAAAGAAGTATCATCATTGAAGAAGGAATACAAGGATGAACTAGTGGTTTTAAAAAATTATCTTGATGAGAAATTTGTTGA